CGTCAGCAGAGGCATGCATGGGACAGCAGCCTCATTTCAAAAGAGATGATGAGGAGACGGAAGGAGGTGATGTCGGCCCCACTTGAAGTTATCAAAAGAAAACCAACTCATTCGAGTTCAAGTACAGAAGTGCGCGTCCGTCTGTGTGTGCGGATGTGTTCCTCCGCCGTCCTCCCCACTCATGACTCTACAGACGAGTAGCCCTGATAGAGCTGTGCCTTCTCCTTTGCCTCTCTGACACTCTCACCAACACGCTCTGCCTTACCTCAGTCCAATCAATAGACTGCTTATCAGAGTCCACTTTCCTTTTCCCTCTTTAGCGCATGTGTGTGTGTGTAGGTGCTGATGGCGAGAGCACGAGCGTTAGAGGGAACTGGTGATGAGAGAGGGAAGAAACAATGAGGCTCAGATAAGTGGAGGTAGAATGAGAGAGTGGGTTGAGCAGGTGAAAGCAGGCTACAGCAAAATTAGCCAGTTTATCTCTCTATTGTAGAACTGCAGTGTCCTTTTAAATGTAATGTGATGTGGGACGTGACTTTCCGAATGTAGGATTACCAGCTATGTCGGTTCATTATTTTTAAAACAGCTATTGTGCGGTTTTTACCTTCATGATGTTTGATCCAAATGAAAGATAACCGATCACCATGTTTTCGGAAATAATCTTAGTTTTTCTTCTCCCACATTTAGATCAGAAGGTAAATACGGTTTTTATTTCTTCATAACATAAAGCAGAAGCCAGTTTCTAGTTTGCTTAACTCAGCACAAGGACAGGAACCAGGGATGAACCGTTAGCTTGGCTCTGTCTGAAGGTAACAAAATCTATCCATCAGCACTTCTAAAGGTCAATAATTCACTTTTTTTGTTTGTTTGTTTAATTCATAAGAAATCTAAAGTGTAAAAACTGCAAGTTGTGGGATATCTGTGGGACTATTTCTTGGCCAGACATGCTGCCTTCTTGAAGAACCACCATCTGTTGTACTGTCTGGTTGTAGCTTTATAGTGAATGAACGGCATCAGTCTGCTCGTCTAATTCAAAAATGTCCCCCGTTTACTTAAAGATTTCCAAAACAAAGAGTCGCCTTAAAGTCCAGTGGTTCAGACAAAATGAGAAATGTGAAAAACTGAGATCCCACGATATCTCTGAAGTCACCATTTTTAGCGTAACCAGTGTTTGTGCACCAAGGAAACTAGAGATGCTGCCCCTTTTCATGTGTCAGTGTCTGTAGGTGCTAAAAGCATGTGTAAAGATGGCATTTTAACATTGTGAGTGAAGACTGAGTTGGAAGTTTGCTTGCCTCTTTCTTGGCACCACACACACATCATGTTGCCTAATTTCCCAGTTTGCTGCTTTTACAAATGGTCTCCTTTCCTAGTCACACCTCTCTTGTGACAAAGTAGGAAGTTCATTACGACCAGACAGGTAGTTTTTTCTTCTCTTTTTTAAGGTTTGAACACACACATACACACACATACACACAGTATATAGCACAGATATTGTGCCCCCTGCTTGTGTATTTGTTTAAGAGACTGGTGGTTGGTTAATGTTCCAATTAGGAGCTGGCTGGGGATCGTTAAGAAGATGAATGATTCTCTCACACCTTAAAGACCTGAGAGAGAGATCGAGTAAAGAGAGAGGGACTCTGGATCGCATCTCCATTGCTCGAATAGTGTCGTACTTTAATCCAAACATCATGTGATAGTGAGGTGCATGCCGCTCACATATTAAAAGACACAAGGTCAGTTAACTAATTTTAAAAAATCTTTCTTTGAGATTTTTTCATTTATTTTTTTCCTGCAATCTCTCCCACCGTCTCCTCTCAGCCGGTACTTCCGTCTGACATTCTCTCCCTCACTTCCTTGCTTCTGTCCTTTTGCTCCACTGCTGTGTCAGAGTGAAATAAAACCATCCGCTGGACTGTCATTGCAGAGCCAAGACATATCACATATTATCCAAGGGACTTCATGCATTTAATTTTCACCTAAATGTCATCCACACACAGTGTCTGACCTTAGAGCGGCTCCCGAGTATATGCAGTATGGAGTGCAGTGGTTCCACCTTCACAAATTAGATGAGCCAATGACAAGCCGTCTTTCTGCCTATGGAAATATGGGCAAATTTAAAGTATTTCATGCAGATTAGGACATGCTGTAATATGTGAGTAATTTCATTAAGTTGTGTTTTTCGCACGATATAAAAAAAAAAAAAGGCAAAATCTCAAAATTGAGACATGTGCTTCCTCTGATGTCTGTCAGATAACATGGGCACTAGCAATGACCAGTGTTTCTCTAGATTCATGAGAGCAATTTAATAATAAACCAAATAGAAGAAGGAAATTTGTCCTGCTGCCACTGTGCTGTGCAGATTTACATTGCAATGTTTAAAATATGTGTAAGAATAGAAATGTAGAGATGCTTTGATTTTGCTGGTCTTACACATACAGCCCTGGATACTAAAGAAGAGTGCATAGAATTAGTAATATCCATCCATTATCTATACACCGCTTAATCCTCACTAGGGTTGCGGGGGTGCTGGAGTCTATCCCAGCTGACACCCTGGACAGGTCACCAGTCTATCACAGGGCTACACTTAGAGACAGACAACCAAGCACACTCACATTCACACCTACGGACATTTTAGAATCACCAATTAACCTCAACATGTTTTTGGACTGTGGGAGGAAGTCGGAGAACCCGGAGAGAACCCACGCTGCATGGGGAGAACATGCAAACTCCACGCAGAAAGATTCTGGTGCCCCCACCGGGATGCGAACCGGCAACCTTCTAGCTGCGAGGCAACAGTGCTACCAACTGCACCACCCTGCAGCCCAATTCTAAATTAGTAATAATTTAGAAAAAATTGAATCGTATTTTCTATTGAGCTTATCCTGAGACAAAATCCACTGGAATCTTGAATCAGGCCATCTGTTGTTTAGAGTTTGGTCCCCCTGTAATCTTGACAATAAGACGGCAGCAAGATGTTTTGTGATGTTTAGAGTCCGTACTTGTGCTAAGCAGTCAGAACAAGACTCGCTCCTCGTTGGATAGTAAACCACAAAAAAAGTTTCGGGGCAATAAAGGTGTCGGTTACAATCAATTACCCTCTGTTTCTTTGGCGACTGTAAACAATCCATTACTTTCGTGTAAGCATGGTGGGATCAGTCATTAGCTGGCTACTTATCTTAGATGGTAAAGAGATGGACTCCCATGACTGTAGAGACTGGCCAATTACAGTTAAATTGACAGTCCGCTGACAGTTTCTAATGATCTGTACGTGTGTGTGTGTGGCTGTGTGCGATCTTTCCACAGGCACTCTTAATGTACTCCTGCGAGTGAGAAGCATCGCCTCTGTGGACTCGGTGATATGGACAAAATCTGGTCATCAGGGCCCAGACTGGAAGAAAGCATTCTTTGACATCAGCCCCAGTGGACCCTTTCAGGTAAGGGCTTGCTGCTTACTTTTCTTCCCAATGTAGGCAATTACAGAAACAAGAATCCAGCAGTGAAGAAAATATAAATTTTCATGAGTGTTGGTCTCTACAGGAACACACATAGAACAGAGGATGCTTGTGCTCCTTAAAGACACTGGTACTTTCCACCCCCCCACACTTCTGCAGCCTCACATGCTGCTGAGATGTGTTGTTGCGTGCAGATTCACAACCCAGACCTGCAGGTATGACCGGGTCATCTGCTGAGAGCCAAACATGCAGCGTGCTCTGTACTGTTAACGTGATGTTGAAAGAACTCCCCAACTCAAATCAGCTTCCAGTCCTCGCTTCTCCACGGTTGATTTTCACCACGTGCCAGCACCATTGTCAGGTCTGCTTTGGCTTACACTACAAAGAAGAAGAAATGAATTCCTTTTTTTTTTTTCCCTGTCATCCCTCTCGTCTCCGAGGCGCTACCTCTACCGCTGCCATTTCCTCTCTGCTGCGTCTTTCCCAGGAGGAAGGCCTCCACTGCAGCCTAGATAGAACAGCGGGATTTCATACCGTGGTATCATCGAACCAGGGGAATTGCACAAAGAGTTTGGGCTTGAAACTCTGCTTGGAATCTGATAAATTTTTCACACTACATTCTCCGCAGAGACATTTAAAGCTCCAAAGAACAAGAGAAATCCATCAAATTTAGATTTACAACCCAGAATTTACTCTCAGAATCACTGCCACCTCATACGCGGTGATGTCGGATTTAACACATATCCAAAATCTCCTTTTTTTTGCTGCCTTGGAGGCAAAATATCAACAGGTACTAGAGGGGAAAAAAAAAAAAAAGAACGTTTTTAGCAGCAGGGTGGTGGCAAGGTTAGAGAAAGAACTCAAGCTCTCTGTTGGCAAGCTTCTGCCCTTTTAGTGCTCCTGCCAGCACCCGGGTCACTGCAGCAGATTACGTTCTCAGAGTATGTGAGCGGCTGCCCTCTGCAATCAATATATTATCGCAATATTATTTATCAAGCCGCGCAAATTTGTGCAAAAGTAGTGCTAATGAAGGCGATGGAAATATGATGAATATAAATTAACCCCAAGGTTTTTCCATATGAGGGACTGGGGTGCGTTTTTCATTCATTACATAAATGTGGGTACAGCGTTTTGACATTACAGCACTGAGGGAAGTATTGATAAATGAGGGCCTTTGAGTGAACATTCAGCTAATTTTCTGCTGAATGTCAGCAGCGGCGTATCCATACAGGAAAAAAAAAAATTATGCGCCTCATCAAGAATGTGCTGATCTCAGGACTGGAGACAAGGTTTCACACTGATTTTAAAAGATGTAAATAGCATGAAAACGTAGCTATGCACTGTCATGAAGGAGAGGAAGTAAATAGAAGAACATGTGAAGAGTTTGTTTGCAAAAACAGATAACAAACCTTCAGAAAACTCACTTTTCCATCGTCCACCTGAGACAATATCAATCAAACTTAAGTTGTGTCTTTCTACTGAGTCAATCCCACTCAACTTCAGTTTGATTGATATTATCTCAAGCAAACAACAACAAAAAGGCATTTTCTGAAAATCTACAAAAATGGAGTTGTCTGTTTTTGCAAATGAACTCTTCATGTGATCATTCAGATGACCAGACTGGTATGGGGTCACCAGGTACGATGAACTAAATACCAAGTGAATAATTTAATTTATTTACACTTAAAAAGGTGCATGAAAACTTTGCAGTAATGTCAGATTGGTGCTTTGTTTTGACAAATGGGAAGTACAGATGATGCTTGTTAAGAGCGTGGACTTTATGAGAGTCAGCAGGTCAAAATACAGGCTGAATGCAATATTTAAGAAAATGTTTTCAACTGGGGCTTCAGGGTGGCGCAGTTGGTAGCACTGTTGCCTCGCAGCAAGAAGGTCGCTGGTTCGCGTCCAAGTGGCACCACCGGAATCTTTCTGCGTGGAGTTTCCATGTTCTCCCCGTGCAGCGTGGGTTCTCTCCGGGTTCTCCGGCTTCCTCCCCACACAGTCCAAAAACATGTTGAGGTCAATTGGTGATTCTAAATTGTCTGTAGGTGTGAATGTGAGTGTGCTTGGTTGTCTGTCTCTAAGTGTAGCCCTGTGATAGACTGGTGACCTGTCCAGGGTGTCCCCTGCCTTCACCCTAAGTCAGCTGGGATAGACTCCAGCCCCCCATGACCCTAGTGAGGACTAAGTGGTGTATAGATAATGGATGGATGGATGTTTTCAACTGGACAACAAGAGAATATTCCCAGCCTGCCATATGTGCTATCACAAGGACAGCTGCTTAACTCCATTGAAAAGTAGGTTTAAACTCGATTAAAAACAGGCGTAAAATATTTCTCCTGCCTCGCTCTCCGACGCAACCCAAGTTAAGCTCAAGGGGCGCAGCCTCCCGTGCTTTGAGCCGCGAAGTCATTTCTCCTTGTTTAAGTTCACCAGAAGTTTAAAGTTTAAGTTAACGGTACAAATTCAGTCGATGGTGGATGAAAATGTTCTGGGAGACATAACAGAAGAAGCGCCTGTGTTTGAGCACTGTCTGTTGACACATCATCGAGGTCCCTGCGGCTCTTTGGCAGCTGCGCTCGCAGTTAGCTCTTCCCTGTTGGCATGTGGCAGAGTAAACTAGATGACTCAGTCCTCCTCTCCGACTGGACACGGTGCTTCCTCTCTCTCTCGCTCGTTTTCCCAGCGTTTCTTACTCATCGCGTCTGTTTGTGAGCGAGCGAGTGTGTGTCTGTGTCCACCTCAGTAAGTTTCGAACTCGGGAGAGGGAGGAGAAAAAAAAAAGTGCAAAAATGATGATGATTTTTGTTTTGCGTGCTGATCCCCCTGTGTGTGTTTCTCGATCTCTTTCTTTCTTATTTTTTTTTCCTTTCTCTCTCTCTTTCTACTCATCTTTCTCTCTGGCCCAGTGCTGGGACAGGGGAACCGGCCGGGTCGATTCTTGCTCTGGTCCTCTTCACTCTCTCCTGTCTCAAGGCTGATGACTAATGGTTCTAAAATCAACAAACTCAGGAAAGCATCTTTAGCCGTCCAGCTCTTCATAGCCACACTTCTCCATACATCCATCTGCCTGCACTGTCTTTGCACAAATATAAAATCACATGCATAAACACAGCGATAGATTCAGACATATGCGCACACACACAGATGAACTCTTTCTTTAAACACACACACACACACACACACTGGTCTCCTATCCCCTGCAGCAATTAGCTAGGACAGGTCAATTAACAGGCTTATTTATGAGCAGGGGATGCCTGCTAGTTGTGTTGTAATGATTCCAGATACTCGCTGTACGTGCATGGGGGAAATTGAATTCATGATGAATGTGGGCTGAAGGCCTTAGCTGGGGGCTGCATTTGCTCTTCATTAACTATGCCTTTGCAACACCATGTTTCTTTCACCATTAAAGGGAAAATTAGGTCTGAAACAGAGGGGATATACTGTATGTTTTAAGACCCCTCCGTGATGTCGGACGGTACAGGCTTTATCGTGCTTGCATGTTAACGAGTCTCTCAGACAAAAGTTTTAAACTGCAGCACACAACCCATTAGTTCTCCTGCACATGTGGCTGATTTGTTGGCATCTCTTAACTCCTGAATGCAAAAAATCCAGTTTGACAGTTATTAAAGAAGTTGTAAACTATGTACAGGATCGAGTCGAGTGAAATTTACACTTATTTTCTGAAAAAATGCATTTTTATACTCATACATTAGTGTTTCTCAGAGTTGTAATTTCTCTGGGATTGACACTTAACGAGCGCTATTTAGTCAACAGTACAACCACTAATCCCAGTTATTTTCGTGTCGTTGTTGCAACATGCTTATTGCCTAAAGACTCCACTGTTCTGCAATCAAGCGTAGATGCACCGATGAAGGTACCTCCAGTATTTTTGACACTTTTCCGCTGAAACTATTCAGTTTCTGGACAAACCAAAGACAGAATCTCTTCTCCAGCCATAAGCACAACAACTGAAGGTCAGCATCTTCCAGTGGAGCCCATTGGTAACACACTGTATGCTGACTTCCCAAGTTAGAAATTTGTCCTGCAGAATTTATTGTGCTTTCACAGCAGCAGGTCGAGGGAATGATATTCCGCCGTCAGTCTAACATCCGTTGTGGCCACTAATCCCACGCACATCTTGACCACCGTGTCATTCACAGCACATACAACCAAACTGTGCTCTGAGTAACGAGTTTCTTGTACTTTAATTTAGATTTGAAATGATCTGTTTCATAAATGGCACAACAATGAATTCATCATCATTAGACAGATTAGAGCTTTTGTCATCAAAGTAGAGAATGTTTTTCTGCACTAAACCTGTAACCAGCTGTAGCAGCATCGTGTTTATGTGACAATAAGCTTTTCTAATAGTTATGTTTGTGTTTATTTATGGTAACAATTAAACGACTGTGTGATCAGACTGAAAAAAAGAACATTAATATTATTTGCATCCAGTGTGTCATGAAAAAAAAGAGCCTTAGTTTCACTATTAATACATTTCAACAAACAATTCAACAAATATTGTTAACTGTGAATATCTGAAAACAGGGCTAAAATAAATCTGTTAATTAGACTGGATGTAATACACTGCCAGAATGGTAGAAACACACCACAATGTACAGATCAGTTTAGTTAGAATTGCACAACAACTGCCAAAAAAATGCATACAAAGTCACATCAATCAACATCCTTACTATCCTAACATCCTTTGTCTGCATATGTTCCTAATAATTAGTCACCATACTAACGTTTAAAGATGGGTGTGTAGGATAGGAAAACACCAGAGTAAAATGCCAGTAAAGAAATCTGGACAAACCGTTAGAAGTCTGGAGGTATCACCTCATGGAGCTACAAGCAGAAACAGAACCTGCCTCCTCAGCACCACACACACACATACAGTGTATGGTGATGAACACACATGACACAGTTCACAATACATGCAGAGACATCACTCCAACACGTACAGTTTATACACACCC